AGTCCAAGAAGATGAAGGATCTGGGGCTGAAGACAGCAGGCCTCTATGGGGCTAGCCATATATGTTATCTCTATGTGTGTATCTATGCACTGAAAAACACTGGTATTCAAAAGAACTACATACAATTAATCTTTCATGTTCACTATACAGATGTCAGTCAGTATAAGGGACACAATTTCTTGCTGGTAACACAGCTGTCTTTGTTTCTGTCTAAGCAAGGTTTGGTGCTGTGTAATTCAATAACAACTCTTTGTAATTATACTTAAGGATTTTTTTTTTTGCACAAACCACAGTCGTCATTGTTGTTTTTGTATCTTTGTCCACTGCAGGCTCTGCAACTTGAGTACTACTCTCTCCCAAACCACTTCATTCTCTTTTATCTTTTGTTCCTTTTGCTATCATTTGCCCACTGCTACCTTCAACCTTGCCGATGGCCTTCAAGATTATGCCTCTTTAGCAATTTTACAAGTAATAAGAGTAGGAGAATGGGAAATAACCCAGAAGCAACAACAATTCTTCTGGGCAGCTAACAACAATCAACAAATATACATACATACATATAAATAAATAAATCAGGCAAAATCAGAATTAAAATAATCATAATGCAATATCAGGTTTCTATATAAAAAAACTAATTTACTGGAGGAAAAGCCAGGTCTTCACAACTTTATGGAAGGCTACTTCCACCAACTCTCTTTTAAAGTACAAAAATTCACTGATTATCTGGAACAGAGTCATACCTGACTGGCTCAGTTTAACTAATTGCTAGAAGATAAAGCTGAATATGTGGTGATACATTAAGATCTGTATCAGCGCATCTTCTGTTATAACTTCAGGGATGAAGAGCTGTTTGGCAATTCTGTGGTTAAAGTTTAATCTCTATATTAAAAATTTATCACAATGAAGTTACCATTTTTGAACCTGCAATCTTTCCAGCTGAGATTTTTCTGTACACTAAGCATTAATAAAATAGACACAGAAATGAACTACCTGCCAGTCATACACCACTGCTTAAACAACAGAAAGACAAGTATGAGAAGACCCTAGACAAACATTTAAATCAAATGGTTAACATGGCTGTGCATTTAAACAAGAGTGGTGCAATATACAACAAGGTGTAATTAATGGTCCCTACCACACCAGGATGAATATACAGCGCTCTCTCTCTCTCTCTCTTTGGCCATAATGGATACTGGGGAATCTATTCTTGGGCAATTTTTTCCTTAAGAAGTACAGGTGGTAGCAGTGGCAAGGAGTGGCAAGGGGGAAATGGGAACATTTGGTACAGGCAACAATCCCCTCAATAATTGGTTGCATGGTCATTTTTAATCCTACATTTTTAAACAAAATTCATTCCAGCTATTCCTGGCAACACCCGCTGTTTCCAGCAGTCAGATTATAACATTTGCAGTTTCCTCAGTGATTCATTTCTAAGAAATATAATGTAATTTTAACCACCATCATACTTAAACTGAAATAAAGGAAGTCATGCTTCTCCAAAAGATCTATACCAAATGAAGAGATTATATCAAGTTCAAAGCCTGCACTAGCCTTCCACACCAGCTGAACTGGTCCTAGTTTAGCATCCGATTTTCAAGGCTGCTTCCTTGCCTCTGGAAGCTTAAAATAGATGTGACATAGTTTCATCTCTAAACGATGGTCAGGTAATCAGAAGAACTCATAGCAGACTTCCATATTATTACTGCTGTTTCTTCTCCTCCATTATGACATTTCTTCCCTCCCTTTCAGAGTTTGGTTTGCATGGACTTTTGTTTTATTTTTTTTCTTAAGCAAATTCACTAGAATAGATCTAAAACAATACAGGTAGTCCCTGGGTTAAGAACGCCCAGTTTAAGGACAACCCATAGTTAAGAACAGAGCTTGCTGTAGCAAAATTCGAGTTAAATACACAATGGTTCAAGTTCATTACACAATACTTCTTATATAGTATTATACAACAACACTGTCCCGGCTTGCATACAAATTCAACTTAAAGACAGACCTTGGGAATGGAATTCATTCTTAAAGTGGGGACTACCTGTAGTTAAATCTCAAACTAAAAAGAAATTACCATATTTTTCCATTAATAAGATGCCCCCATGTACAAGACGACCCCCACTTTTCCAACCCAAAA